GGGAAGACCAATTCTTTAACATTGACATAGCCACTGCAGGAATGAAAAGAGTGAGTGGTGTCTACAGATGTCTATGTTCTTGGTAAAATCTGCTCCATGCTACTAACAGTTCCTTTTGATCACTGGAAATACCAGCCTCCCAAATATACCCTACATCCCTGTTAGTGGAGAGTCATCCTCATCTCTGAGAAGCTAACGGGACGCTAGTCTGATCCTCTCTGTTCAGTTAACCTTCATGGTGCTCTCTGGACTTCATGATCAGTCCTCAGCAAGATCCTCCATAGTTCAACCTCTTCTCAAGGATCCAACTTGCCCTTTCATTCTCATCATAGCTTAGCTGACCACAAAAGTATGCTTTCCCCTGCAGTCTTTTCTTTCTCACATCTTACTCTCCTGGCATGGGAATGAGGTTGGTTTTCCATTTTGATATTGTTCCCAGACATTTTTCCTCCTTTTTCTCTAACCATCTCTGGCTGTTTGGAGAGAAAAACCATTGAACTCTTCTCATCCACCACCCCTTCTTGCTGCAGTTTGTTTATTTATTTATTTACTTACTTACTTACTTACTTACTTATTTATTTATTTATTGTTATTCCCTCTTATTCACTGACATTAAAAGATTATAGAAGGAATGTGATATGATTATAATCTGTGCTAGCTCCATGGCCTAGCAGTTAAGGCAACCAGATCCCTCATAGCTGACTGCACTATTCAATCCTGGACCCAGTGGCTTGAGAAACATGCTGGATACATGTGCGTGCATGCTGAAAAATTGAAAGGAGAGAGAGATGGAAGAGAAGGTATGACCATTCCACTTCCCATAAGGGTTGTTTCTCTCTCTCTCTCTCTTGGATCTTCTGTGCCCTCTAGCATGCATGAGCACACACACATCAAGATCCAAGGCATAGCATTGTTTCTATACTCAATATTTCACATTACATACTCATACTTGCTCTATTCTCCTTCCTCTAACAAATCATAAAACTTACTTAGGCTTCCGATCTTAAGACTTGACCAATTTTTCACTTTTTATCATCCCTTAAGAGTCTTTTTTCCCTCTCTGCCAAATTAGATTCCTTAGCCATTTGATCACTATAATCACTCCTTTGTATATATTCTCAACTCCCTTGACTCTTTTGTCTTTCATCTTGCACACACCTACATCCTGGTTAAATTTTCATCTCCATCTATTCCATACATGAACTACTGTATGTAGCTGGTAAAACTCACAACTCTGCTGACTGAACTCATTTTATAATTATGACCAAGAGTCTCAAGTGGGCCTGCCGTGCTACTCAGAAATTCACGGCATTTATCTCATCAATTGACTATCCTAACTTTTACTCTATTAAAAGAACATTTGATATATTCTTGTCCCAACAATTCCTTCTCCTTCCTTTTAGCTGAGGACTTTGCTTTGTGATTCACCAAGAAAATAGAATCAATTAGAAGAAAACAACTGCATCTTCCCACCATTGCATCTTCCATCCTTGTGTGCTCTATGTTGCCTCCTGTTAGGACGAAGTGTTCATGCTTCTACTGTAAGACCTACCCTTCCACTCATGCATGAAATTCCAATCCTTCTCACTTACTCAAGGATTTTGCTCCTGTTATTTTCTCCTGCATCATCATCCTGTCTCTCCATCACCACCTCCTACTGAATCATTTTAATCAACATATTAATATGCTGGACTATTTCCCACCCTCAAAACTAAAACACAACTTCCCTTTATCCACCTCCACATTACTGTCCAGTTATCACCTGGAGAGTTTTCTGTTTGCCTTTATAGCAAAAGTATTATTTATATTCATATTTGACTTCTCACTGCTTTTCCTCTTGACTCTTCTGCAGTCTTCTGTGCCCTTTTTGTCACTGAAGCCACTCTGCTCTAGGTTTCCAGTGACCCCTAAGATGCCAAATCGAAGATTGGTTCTCAACCTTTACCATAATGACCACTCAACAACACTTAACACAACTGCCCATTCCTTCTTTGTTTCCCCACATGGCTTTATGATCTCACTTTGGTTCACTTCAAACTTCTCTGTTCTGCCCACTCTTCTTGGTTGGATTCTCTTCCTTATCTCCATGTCTGAATATTTGAGTGCTTCTCAACTCAGTCCTAGAACTGTTCACTCCTTGAGCAATCTCATTTTGTGTTTTTTCCTAGTTTTAAATTCTCATTACACATGTGTGTGTGTATATATATATATATATATATATATATTAAAGAATTATTTTATTGGGATCAGCAGTTGGCATAATGGCTATGTTGCTGGACTGCCATGTAGTTGACCGTGGTTCAAATCCCAGACCTAGTGGCTTAAACTCCCGCCAGGTGCGTGCGCGTGCATGCCTAAGATCCCAAGAGGAGAATAGAGGAGAAGGGTTTTTATTAATTGTTATTTATTTATTTATTTTTGAAGTTGACCAGAGAGAGACAGAGAGACAAAAAGAAAGTGAGGAAGCAAGTTGCCAGGTCCAGGGGACTTGAACCATGGTCAGCCATGTGGGAATCCAGCTGCCTTAATCACCATGCCACCTGCTGGCCCCCACATGTATATATTTGTATGCCAAATTTCTATCTCTACACATGACCTTTCTGCTGAAATCTTGGTGTTGGTATGTTCAACTATTAGGTATCTTTACTTGAATGTATAATAGGGATGACAAATTCAACGTGTCAATAAACAAACTCTTAAAGCATGATGATGCACCATGAGGGGGGTGTTTTCTCCCTCACTTTCTCTCCCTCTGTTTCTTTCTGGCGAGCACATACACCCTGTGGCAATTCAAACAAAGAAGTCTTGATTTCTTTTAGCTCTTCATCTCCTCCAAACGTTACCCTTCTCAATAAATGAAATCACTTCTCATATGATCGATCAGGACTAAGGTCTTACAGTTAATTTGACTCTTTTCTTCCAGCCCATTACTAATCCTGTAAACTCTCCCACCAAAATGTATTCTGAACCTGCTGACTCCTCCTCACTACCTCTACATCACCAGCTTTGCCCAAGCCATCATTACGTTTTACCTTCACCACAGCAATAGCCACTAAGCTGGCCTCCAGAATTCTTCTTTCTTCTGTCCTCATGATCTCCTCTTTGAAACCTCTGTAGCCTCATCTCTCACTTCACTCCTCTCTTGACTATACACCAACCTTCCTTGGTGTGCCTGGGTCATACCAAGCGTAATCTCCCATTAGACCACTTGAACTTGCTCTTCCTCTGTCGAAAACTGCCCCTCACGGCTCACTTTTCTCTTCATCGGGTCTCTGCTTAAGCAGCACTCTTTCAGACAGATCTTCCCCAAAGTCTGTTCCCACCATCACTCCCTACCTTCTTATTTGGCTTAATTTCTCCGTCCTATTAATCACTCCCCAAAATTGTATATGTTATTTAATTTTGTCTCCACTATCAGAAGCCAAGCTTTGTAAGTGCAGGGACTTCCTACACTTTATCCACTCTTGTAGTCTCAGGACCCAGAATCATGCCTGGTGTGTAACAGGTGTTCAGTAAGTATTTATTGAATGAATTAACAAATAAATGAACTTTCCTGTGAGTTTCAGACAGGATAAAAGGAGGATATAAGACACATATGATATTTATTCAGCATTCTAACTTTGTACTTAGAAAAAAACCCAAAAAGACAAAAAAAAAAAATAAATAAAACCCTTGGGAACCAGCAGTTAGCGTAATGGCTATGTCGCTGGACTCCCACGAAGTCGACCGCGGTTTGTGTCCCGGACCCGGTGGCTTAAAACTCATGCCGGGCGCGTGTGCGTGCGTGCCCAAGATCCCGAGAGGAGAATGGAGGAGAAGGGATTGCGGCGTGACCATCCCCCTTGGGGGGGTGATTTCTCGCTTTCTGTCTCTATGTCTCTCTCTGTCTGTCTGGCGAGCGCACGCGCCCTACAGTGAAAATCTCTCAAAAAAAAAAAAAAAAAAAAACACCCTTCAGGGCCGGCAAGTGGCATGGTAATTAGGCGCTGGGCTGGACTCCCACATAGCTGAATGCAGTTAGAGTCCTGGACCTGGCAACTTGCTTTCTCACTTTCCCTCTCTCTCTTTCTGGTGAGCGCATGTGCCATATAGTGAATTTTAAAAATAATAATAAATAAAATAAATAAATACTTCTTAAAAGAAAAAAAAACAGTATTCACAAGTATTTTCACTAGTTCTCTCTAAAACTATGTGAGATTTCGCTAAAAATCTCCTAGATATGAGTAGAGAGGTTGGGAGGGAGGGTATACTTACTGAAGTCGCAATCGCTATGTTTTTTTCGTAACATGAGGTCATGCCCTGCTCTGCTAAAATCCCTCAGTGGTTTCCATTGCACTTTGACTTGTATTTAAATTCCTTATCATGACCACATGAGCTGGCTCCAACCTACTTCTGAACTTCACCTCTTCTACTGTCTTCCTTATTCATTTCCCTGTAGTCAAAAATAGTCTCCTCTGTGTTCCAACAAGGCACCAAGCAGGTTTCTGTCTCAGGGCCTTAGCACTTCCTGTTTCCTCTGCTCAAACACTCTTCCCTGAATTACATACAAGCTAGCTTATCATCCATGTCTCAGCCTCAAAGTCTAAACCCCAAAGGGCCTTCTCCAACCAATGCAGCCTATATTACTCCTCCCTCCCTCTTTCTAGGAAATGTGTACCTTATGACTCTTTCTTGATATCATTACCGGAAACTATGTTGTTTCTTGCTTATTATCTTCCTCCCCAGCTCAAACATAACCTCTGTGAGAGCAGCAGCCTTATCTGCTCTCATGGCAGTGCCTGGCTGGTCCCTGCCTCTGCACAGATGCTCCTCGAGTATTTGATGAAGAATGAGTATCCAGATCGTGTGTGAGGACTGACTGTGACTCCGTTGGAAAGCTTCTTTTCCTCCTGGTTAAGTTAGGCCTGGCTGACCTGGAGCTGGGTAATGCTCCAGAGCCCCCCTTTGATCTCCCTTCATCTGCCTCCCTGCCCTCACTCCAGTGCCTCTCGGGCCTTTACCTTGATAGCCCCTGTGGCAATCTGGATATGGTGCAGCCGTCGCAGCGTGCTCTCTCTGTCGATGAAGTAGGAGGCTGCCAGCTGGTGTAGGGTCTCCAGGGACACAGCAGAGCTGTTCCCACTGCCCCCAATGACAGGGGCACCTCCCGTTGTCTCTGTCTTTCTGCTCAGTTTCCGCTTGTCCACAAAAATGGTCAGAGACTCCTCTCCTATAGCAAACAACATGGATTCATCGGTAAGGCCTTCTACACCTGAATCCGCTACAGATAAGAACATGAATCCCTTTGCTGGGGTTGCCGGAGCTGGGAGGGCGTGCCGGCCCTGCTGTGGAGTCTGCTCCCTCACTGAAGATCCTAGAACACTCTCATCAGACGGTGCCACAGGGTAACAGCCTGCACAGCTGAGAGGCCCTCCTCCTTTCTCTTAGTTCTTTAAGTCTTCCAAAGCTTACCCTCATCCCCCAGTTTATCCATTTAACATCCTCTATTGATCTCCGTCTCAAGCAATCTACCTCCACTGGGGCGATACGATCCTTTCTCTCAAGTTGTTTATGAGAAGTCACTATGGCTATTTCTGCTCCCTCAGAAAGGGCAAAAGCCTTGAAGCTCTCTACTCCCTCCTCCTCATCAAACACTCAAGGCTACCACATGCCGGCAGCTGGCCTGAGCCCTTGGAGAGCTTCTTTTTGTCTACTGGACAGTGAGCTAAGTGTTATAATAAGACCTTTCTTCTTCCCAGGGCAGAGAGAACTCTGCCTCTTCAGAGCTTTTGGTTCTGCTCTGTGACCTAGCAGGTTGTACCATTCCCCACCTCACCCTCACCCTCAGCAGGGGATGATTCATCAGCCCAGAACTGTGCAAACTGGTTTAGCCAGTTAGAAATCTTCGCAGAGAGGAAGCAGGGGTCAGGAACTTCATGGACATCCACTTTGCCTATGGATCTGACAATTGCAGCCACAGTAAATATTAGAAAGTGGAGAAGCCTTGGGGTTAGATGGCTCAGTCAAAAGAAAACTGAGAGCGCCCCCTGCTGGTATATGCACGGTGGGAGTCTGTCAGACCCCCAAATTCCTTACCCCACACCCTCTCCTCAGGAGATTATAAACTAGTAGAAATGTCCTGAAGTGAATTTAGACATCAAAAGTCTACACTGTTCTCAGATGTGCCAGAAAGGAGACAGTTCTCTGGCAATAATAGGCCAAGAAGAACAAAAGTCTTCGGAAGACCTTTGGACTATATCCAATGGCTCTTAAAGTAACTTTAAATGATCTGGCAACCAATTAGCTTGGGATTGTGATATTCCTTACCTCCAAGGGTGGCAGAAAGTAAGAAATGAGTGCCGTACTTTTTGATCAGGTTTTCAGTAACCTGTTGCAGGTTGGGTCTCCTTCCGAGGAGGCGGATGTTCCGGATAAACTCTGGGGCGAGAGGCAATGGCAAACTGAAGAAGTCCTTCCTTTCTAGAGCCAAGTTGTTCACTTTCCAACGAGCAAATTCTCTAAAGGAAAAGCCAAGGGATAAGAAAAAAAAGCTCATTGTATTTAAGAACAAGAGGCATACAATCTGAAGCTGGTGCACCCCTTCATCTCTTCAGCTCACATCTCCCAAGACAGAGGCCCCTGATCTGGGAAGAGGCCACCAGACTTCTCACTTGGCCTGTCATTCCCAGACTTTGCAAAAGCCCTATTGCACCTGACCTCCATCAGAGCCTCTCCCATTCAACTTTCTCATTGGAAAACAGCTGACCAACTTATTCACATGAAGATAGTCATGGTTAGCAGTGCTGAGCAGGAGAAAACCAAACATTGGCACAGTGATCTACAAAGATGTGATCTAGTCATAACTGTCACACAGTGGTTGAGACAAATCATCTATCATGGCCTCGGTTACACATCTTTAAGGTCAGGAAGGGGATCTAGAACAACACTTTTCAAATTTTGGCCAGATTCCCTTTACACTTTTAAAAATGATTGAATTCCCTTATTTGTTTATGTGACTTATGTGACTAGTACATATCTATTGATATCTACTGATTTAGAAATTAAAACTGAGGGGCTGGCAGGTGGCATGGTGGTTAAGGTGCTGGACTCCCACAGGGCTGACTACAGTTCATGTCCTGAACCTGGCAGCTTGCTTTTTCACTTTTCCTTTCTCTCTCTTTCTGGTCAAGTTAAAATAATAATAATAATAATAAGTGGAGTTAAATAAAATAAATCTTTTTAAAAAGAAACAAAAACTGAGATAATTAAATGGATTTATTTGGTTGTTAGGAAAGATATGACACATTTTTGCACAGAAAAATATATTGTGGCTTTCCCGATGACCTAATATTTATTTTTTCATTTAAAGATAATAATAATAAACCTATTACATATGATATAAATGACATATTTTTATGATAATAACTATAAGTTCTGAAACAAAACCAATTTAGCTGGAAGCATGGTGTTGTTTTGCCCTTTTGCAAATCTCTTACATAACTGGCTTAGCAGAAGAGTTGCTTTCCTAAATTTGCTTCTGCATTCGATCTGTTGCTGAAATTGTGGCTATTCATATTTGATCACATACTTAACAAATGTGAATATCTTAAAAGTTAGCTTTATGGAATTTGAAAGCATATAAATGAACTTTTCATACTTTGTTACAGGAAAATCCTGTGTTCTATGCTATACTTTGAATGAATTTTTTTTATCCTGCGTAATTTTGTAAAATCATGTATTGATCATCTGGAAAATGATGGATCACTGAGTTACGCAGAAATTCCACACGTCACACTTTTCCTTATAGGATATTAAGTGTTAGCTGATATTACTACCAATCTCACCAGAAAAGTCTTTAAATATTAGTCAGCTGTTAAGTTGATGGCAAATCCAAGTTTTTCAAAATTCTAATTTTAATTTGAAAGCTTAAATTTTATCATTGATAACAAATACTGTCCTTTTCTTCCCTTGAATAGGCTAGCTTACATCATTCATCTTTTTGAGAAAATACATGCCATACACTCAAGCCTGAATAACTACAGTTGGTGTGCTTTCAAGAAAAATGAGGCTCCATGAAAAAAAAAAAAGCAGCTGGTTCAGGTCTCAACCACAAAAGTATTTTCCCTTGAAACAACCATAGTACTTTAGCAGCTTCAGACATACATTATGTTTACTGAATTCATCACACTTTATGTATACCCATTTCATCATATGGAATATTAAAAAAGACATGTACTCCAGGGTTAAGATTCAGTAAAATTAATACATTTTACTGCTTAGGACATTCTTAAATAAAGTGTGCATGTAGTATATGTATGTGTGTTTAGGTGAAAGTGTGTAATAATGAAGAACATACAACTACTAGTATCATTTGAAGTGATTGTCTTTATTCAAATTAAGCTTCTCGCAGTTTTCTTCACCATTGCTTTTGCACCTTGGTGCAAATGTCAACCTGGATACTCTGAAAGGGGTGAAGAGGACTCAAATCTTGAGATGCACTATTCTAAAAGATAGCAAAGTCATTTCTTAGTCCTATCCAGGATTTTAATTTTTGTACTTTGCGTTTGACTGAAATGTTTGCATGTTAAGGGAGATATATTTCTAAGACGTGAAATGACATTTAAAGGATCATATCCAATAAGAAAGAAATTTCTCATTACCTCCCAAATTATGCTAGTAAAGACCAGCTCCATTGTCTTCGAAGGCAATGAAAGATAAATTCTGTACAACCTCTTTACCCAACCCAATCCTACTCAGTGTGATAGTGTGAAACTGTGGTCTGATCTTCCCCTAAAATCCATGGAGTGCAAATGATGGGGCTTCAGAAAAACAAGTAAATTAAAAATAAATAAATAAAAATTTATGCTCAATTTGAGGCTAGAAAATACCCCCATCTAACTCTGGAGACTAAGATCGAGAGTAAGAGCACTGGCCAAAGATTACTAGAGAAAGGAAAACAGGCAGACAATAATGTGTGGTTCCAGGAAAGCCTTTACAAATTCTCACATCACAGCTTTATTTATACAGGTTCATAATAATATATTATCAGTCATTGCCTTTGTGCATAAAATGCTAAACTTTAATTAAATTGCAGGGTATTTATCAAAATTTTCTATCCCAAATCCTACTATGAGGCAGAAAACAGCCCTTCAATCTCATTTCTAATTGGCTGGATGAGTACTAATATTCTCTGATTGGCTAGTTGATAATTATAAAATCAGATTACCAAACAAACAAAACTCCTCAGGGTCATCAAACCCAGCTTCCCTGCTTTAGGATAGGCTATGCTTAGACCTCATTAACCAATCATTTCTATCCTGTTATTTTTTTAGATAGCTAGAGGGAGGAAAAGTCATCCTTCCATTTTCCATGATATCTTAACAATAGTCAAAGCCCCTCACTGAAAGGATAAGCCATGTTACTAAGATGGTAGGCCCTACTTTCACTTAATTTAAAAAATAAGCATTGGTAGTCAAAAAACTCTTGATCAGAGTTCTGCTTCCACCCAAACATTAACAATCAACATAGCCACTCTACAGATTCTGCAACAATGACTGTCACACTCAGTGTTGAAGATTACCAAAAGAAGCAACAATCTTGGAGTTTGGCACTTTTACTTGGTCTTTATCTTCCCGTGTCTCACATCAGACTGAGATAATTATATATTTCATTGAAACCAATACATAGCATTGATTACATCTCACTTAAATGAGAAAATCGAAGCTCAGAAAGCTAATGAATTTGCCTGATGTTACACAACTACCAGGAGGAAAAACTGGGCTGTTGGAACTGGAGGAAATACTTCAGCAGTATTTGTCCATCTTTTTCACATTATCATTTATATTAAAAATTCTCTGCACATGAAGCATTAGAGTCAATGGATGAGGCTGCTCAGTCCACAGGAGATGAGCGTAGGGAGTCCTACTATCCCAGATCTTGTACAATTGTCCCAAGAACTGAGGAGGTCAACATACGGACATCCCATGACCATTTGCAGCATACCCAGGTGCCAGCATGCACGCTGGCTGAGAAGGTTCATTTCCACCCTCTCGTGGTATGAGAAGACCATGAAACAGGGTGAATGCTTTGACTGAAGCAATGTAACCAGTCCCAGAACAAAATGCTAACACCTTGACTCTCATCAGTGCTAATGACAACTTTGATGATGGTGACAGTAGCAACAACTGAGACCCACAAAGGTTCAGAAAGTAACTTTCATGAAGTCACACAGTTAGTAGCAGAGACTGTGTGACTATGGCCTTTGTGCAGATGAAGTTATGTGTATTTTGTTGGATCCTATTTCTTTTTATTTTATTTTTATGTATTTATTTTTTAAGAGAGGTTTTTTTTGCTATAGGGTGTGTGTGCTCACTGGAGAGACAGAGAGACAGGAAATGAGAAATCACCCCCTGGGGGGATGGCCACAATCCCTTCTCCTCCGTTTTCTTCTCAGGATTTTGGGCACGCACACACATGTGCCCATCATGAGTTTTTTTTTTTTTTTTTTTTGGGGGGTTTTTGTTATAGGTGCCGTGGCCAGACAGAGAGAGACATAGAGCCAGAAAGCAAGAAATCACGCCCCGGGGGGATAGCCACGCTACAATCCCTTCTCCTCTGTTCTCCTCTCGGGATCTTGGGCACACACGCACACACGCCCGGCATGAGTTTAAGCCACCAGGTCCGGGATGCAAACCGTGGTCGACTACGTGCAAGTCCAGTGACATAGCCATTACACTAACTGCTGGTCCTGTCAGCATGAGTTTTAAGCCATCAGGTTCGGGACTTGAACCGTGATCAACTATGTGGAAGTCCAGTTATGCCATCTGCTAGTCCCCGTACTTCTTTTCAAATGTTTACTATTTTTTAACAAAAACCTCTTCATTACCTTGAACATTCCATTCCTTTAATTATTTATACAAAACATGAGTTTACTTTACCTCCAAAGCACAGTGTAGCATGTATACCACAGCAAACATTTCTGGGTTAAGGCCCATTTGCAGGAAGGTAAATTGAAACCCAGAAAAAATCAAGACCATACACAGAATACCCTGGGAGGACTCAGAAATAAAGGCCTGAATCCATGCCCCATGGTTGCTCGGAAAATCATAACATAGAATAATAAATGACCTAGAAAAAAATGATACTGTCTTGAAATTGTTTATGAACAAATAATAAAAAATAATAGCTAACATTTAATGAGCATCTTGCAAAGACTAGCTAACATAATATTCCGAACATCCCTATTAGGGAGAAATTGTAATTATCCTCATCTTACAGATGACGAAGCTGAGACACAAATAAGTTACTCTGCCCAGTAGGTAACAACCAGTAGGTGGCAGGGTTAGGATTTAAACAGGAGGGTTGGCTGCAGGCCACACTGTCTACCACTGTGCTGTACAACCTCCACCTCTGAGACTCAATAGGACAAGTGCGATATTGTGAGTTGAAGTGTGTGCACACGTGTGTGTGTGTGTGAGGAACAGAGAGATAAAGAGAGAGGAAGACAGAGAGATTCATT